CGAACCATCTGTCTTGGTGGGATTCCAAAAGGAGGAATCGACCTCGCCAATTGGGCCGTCGTGATGAATTCGGCAAGGCAGAAGGTTAGCCACTGCCTTGCTCTTGCTAGAGTCGCCGGACTGGATAGAGAGGATTGGTTGCGACATGTTGCCTTCGTATCTGGTTGAACCCGCAGGGGATGAGAGTTGTAGACTTGCGATTCTTTGGACCGAGTATCACACGACGCGTCTTTTCCGAAAGAGACGCGATCTGAATTCAATTAAAGCCGATAAGGCGTCTCGATAAGCTTATCGGAATCGATAAGACAGGTCTTGGCTTCAGAAGAGAGGGTGTGGTGCACGGTGCACGAGCCCCCCTTCCAAGACCTTTCCTCCCGCTGTTTCAGTGGCTTCGGGCCAGGCCAGCCGCAAGGATTGTATTGTACGTACGCTATATGTATCCGACCACATCATGACGGCACGACAGTCTTTCTCGTCAACACTGCCCATGCGTGCACGCTTCGTTCACTGGCGGAGACGTTCTAAGAGTGTGACAGACGGGGAAGCTACAGGCGCACTTTGAGTCAGGCTGCGCGCTCTGGCTGGGCTGAAGAGGCTGGGTGATGTTACAAGGCGCGCTGCTGCTGAGAGACATGCATCCTGCTAGTTGAGTCTTGACACCAAAACTTGTCCAATCCTCCATCAACACCCAGCCTCCTTCGAGACCCGAATGCCTCGTCTTGCATCTCTAGCCGTTACCACAGGGATCGTTTCCCATGGCCCAGGGAACAAGGCACATAAGCCTTAAGACGGTCGGTCCCACGGGCGGGTTAGGTGTCTTGAGACAAGTACGTGGTCAATTTGGTTACATACCCAAGTTGCTGCAAGACCGGATGTTAAAACACCCAGAAGTTCCGCCCCAGGCCCCCCAGCCACGTTGACACTTTTCTCGTAATGATTCCATCCTTTTTCTATGTCTTACAAAAATCCAATCTTCTCAGACGTACAACTCAATGCCCATCTTACCTCTGACTTTTTTTCCCTCGTCGGAATACGAAGTTCGGAGTCGAGTCCTGCACGAAATCTCAGCCATGCAATTGGCGGCGGCGGTGGAGAGGATCAAAGTCTTGATGTCATTGACATGAGAACAACCCCTGCCGAATTTCCAGAAGCACACAAAATGCTCCGCAGACCCTGTGCTTCACCCTCCTCGGCGTTTACCATCTACGGGGACCAGCCCCAAATCGGGTTCGACGCCTTGTCTAATTCGTTGTAGCTCGCCTCTCCCTCACACGGCGACGACTCGAGTCACTCGACAGCTCCCGCAGAGCCGGTCATCGAGCGTTTCTCTGCTGGATCGGAGCTCGCACCGACGGACGGACTTTTGTTCAAAGATGGGAAACCGGTGTCAAAGGAAAATCGTTGACGGCTCGACTGGCATTTCACTCCAAAGTACCTTACCCAGTTGGCAAGCGGACTAACCCAAGGGGAATGCACGACTAATCCACCAGCCAGCCGTCCTCGCCGTAGAAACGAATGCTGCCGCATCGCAGGCCCTGCAGGGATCTGCCAAGTGCTGCCACTGCATCAATGCAGATATCCTCACTTGCTCCAGCAAAGAGAAGCCTCCTCTGCTTCTCTTTGCTCGTGAAAGCGCATTGTCCCAGTCCCTGAAAATGCGTGCGCCCATGTAGAGACGAAGGAAAACGCGCAATCGAGGTCAGCGCGCTTGATGCAAAATAAGCATCTTCATCCGATGGCCGATGGACTCCTGAATCGTCAAGCCTGCCCTAGGCTAGGCTCCGTTTTGTTTCGTCCGCCTGGCCCTCTGCCAGCCGGGGACAGGCAGCATTCGACGGCTTCTCGAAACCTACAGCTCGTGCTTCCATCACTGACACTAGCAGCAGTTCGATGGCTGAACGTGGCTCCGGCCGGACGCTCCGGGGCGGCGCACTGGCCGGTCTAGTGTCCATGGAGGCTAGATGGTGGTGGTGGTGGTCCAGGACTTCGTTCCGTGGGATGGATGTAGGTACTTTGGCAAATGTAATGGTTCTTGACACGAGCAGCGAATGAGCTTGCTCAAGGCCAAAGGTTAACTCCGATGAAGGCGCACATGCGTTCGTTGCCATGCGCTCGGCTCGCCATGTCTCCGTTGGTACCAATTGACATCATGCCGTCTTAGCCCTGCCCTAAGAAGAAATGTTGAGAGTTTGAAGCTGCTGCTACTCTGCTCATTCACCCTTCTTCTCTGTTGCGGTTCTAAATGACACGCAGCGAACGCTCTTGAGGAATCACCCAATCCACACCAGACGATCGGTGCCTTATTGCATCTGGATACATGTGTCTGAAGAATCTGTACCAGGATACATCTCAGGTTCAAGCCAATGCCGTGATCGTCACCCATAACGTCCATCGACGTCCTCAATGAAACAAGCGATGGCCAAGGCCTCTGCCCCTCCCGAGAGATTCCCGTCTGAGCTACCCCTGCCGCACCCACCATCCCACTCATGCTCATCCCAGTCGGGACCCTCTCCCGCCCACATTTTTGGCCCTCGGGCTTGCGACGGTACCGATGGGCGAGACAAGAAGCACGCGCTCGTTGCATCCGTGACGAGAGAGAAAGGGCAACAAGACCATTTGCCGGTGGCCCTTTTTTTCTTCTGTTCTCTTCTAGCTAGAGTGAACACCTATGCGCCGCGGGGCTGGCTCCTCTAACCACCCCTCCCAGCCGTTGTCGCCCTCCAGAAGAAATGCTGTGTGGTGACATAGTGTAGGAATAAAATGATCGTCCCGCCCTGCCTCGTGGTCTCAGATGTGAACACCACAACGTTCTGACCTTGCCTTTGCTGCTGCTGCTACTTCTGCTACTGCTGCTGCACCTGCTGCTGCTACTACCGTCCTGCCAATAGCTAAACCTTCCGCATTTCTCAACCCTCCCTCCCCCCTCCAATCCCAAGTCCAGCCCCCCTCCATCACCGAGGAACCAAAACAAAGCAGATGCAAGATCCCAGAGTTGTACCTTGAGAGCTTGCTTTAGGTTCCCTCGGCGTCCCGCCCAATCCAATTGACGGTAATTCGGTTCGTCCCCAATTCGTACCACCGCCTTTTCGCGCTTTCCCGTCTTATACGTCAATCGGCCTTTTTCTGTTTCCCCCGCGCTCCCTCAAGAAAGTTGGGGAGAGAGAGAGACATATAGAAACCAACTGAGTTTTTTTTTGCCTTTCCTCGAACGGAATCGATTATGCCCAAGCTGCCCTCTCTCGTCCCGGCGGCCGTAGCCCAGCCGCTGTCCCGCGGGACGGAGCTGGTGAGAGGTGCGGTCGGGAGCCTGACCTGGGGCCCGGCGCTGTCCGTAGCCAAGCCCGCCATCTTCTCCTTGTTCTCAAAGATTGAGCGCGGCACGCTGCTGCTGGTCGACGAGCCCGCCGAGTCGAGGCACGTCTTCGGCCAGAAGCTCGGCGCAAAGTACAACGAGAACCTCACCAACGGTGACCACCATGTCCCGCGCCGCGCCGACGCCGTGCCCCGCGTCGAGCTGGTCGTGAAGAGTGATGCCTTCTGGATGCGCCTGTTCCTGTTCGCCGACATGGGCTTCGCGGAGGCGTACATGCTCGGGGAGATCGAGTGTAAAGACTTGACCGCCTTCTTCCAGGTCAGTAAAAAGATACCCTTGCGCGGCATGCATTTTATTCAATTGCCCGTCACAGTGAGCTAATGGGTGAGCGGGCGCAAACAGCTGTTCATTGTCAATCGCGAAGAAATGGGCAACGGGACGACGTGGATCTCAAGCTTCTCCGCCGCGATCTCAAGCCTGGCCCGCACCACGAACACCCTCTCGAACGCGCTCCTCAACATCTCGGCGCATTACGACATCAGCAACGAAATGTTCGCCGCCTTCCTCTCGCCGGATATGACGTACTCATGCCCCATCTGGCAGCCGCAAACCGACCCGAACGCGCCGGAGGAAAGCCTGGAGGCTGCGCAAATGACCAAGCTGCACCGCTTCATCGACGGCGCGCGCATAAAGGCTTCGGATCATGTGTTGGAGATCGGCACTGGTTGGGGCTCGTTCGCGATCGAGGCGGTGAAGACGACGGGGTGCCGTGTCACCAGTCTGACGCTGTCCAAGGAACAACAGGCCCTCGCGGAGGAGCGCATTGCGGCGGCGGGCTTGAGCGACCGGATTGAGGTGAGGTTGATGGACTACCGCGCGCTGGAAGTGCCAGAAAAGCCGTTTGACAAGATCGTATCGATTGAGATGCTGGAAGCCGTTGGGCAGGAGTTCCTGGCGACGTATTTTGCGTGCATGGACAAGCTGCTGAAGAAGGACGGCGGCATCGCAGTCTTCCAGTGCATTACCATGCCAGAGGGTCGCCATGAGGCGTACTCCAAGGGAGAAGAGTGAGTGAACGGCAAGGGCAGGGCTTCACTGAGCGCCGCGCTGACGAGCAATAGTTTCATCAACCATTACATCTTCCCCGGAGGGTACCTGCCATCAATCACCCAGCTGCTGAACCACATTACGAACGAATCGAGAGGTACGCTCATCGTCGAGAAGGTCGAAAACATTGGTGGCCACTACTCAAAAACGCTGCGCCTGTGGAAGGAGGCGTTCCTGCAAAACTTTGACGAGAAGATCCGGCCAGCACTGAAGCTGGAACACGAGAACATGACCGAGGAAGAGATTGATGTATTCAGGAGGAAGTGGGAGGTGAGAGGATGCACCATCTGGTCCTTCCTGGTCTATGCTAATGAGTTCTTAGTATTACTTCACATACTGCGAAGCCGGATTCCTGACGAAAACGCTCGGCGATGTGATAATAACGGTTGGCCGCGAGGGCGCTTTGGAGTTGATGGAGGGTATTCCTCTGTAAAGGGATTATTCTGAATTGAAGAGGCGGAATGCATGGCGTTGCGGCGATTGTGGTAAGCCCCCGAAGGCTCAGGCGGTGGTAATGATGAAGGACATTCGGGGTCACGACTCCGACGCAGCAGAGATCGTAGGCGATTAGACTTGAAGCTCATTTCTTCTTTTTCGTCTTTTTTGAGTTTGGTTTCGGTTTTGAAGATGTGTTCCCAGAGCCGGGGAAGCGATTCGCGTGATCGACGTCAAAGGCTTGTTTGTGCTTGCGGAACAGCAGCATCGTTACCCTCGCGTCTTCAATACTCGAGTGAGCGCCGGTCTGGATGGTGACTTTTAGAATCTCCTCTGCCAATTTCCTGAGCGCTGGTTTCCTGCTGTTGGCGAACTTTTTGAAGCCTGGGTGGTTGGAGGTATCGCGGATATCCTTGATTGAGTGGCTGAGCTTGAGAGCGTCCAGATCATGCTTCACATCATGACCGACCAGTATCCTGTCCTTAAGCAGTGCAGCGACCTGCGTCTGTACCTCGTTGAAATCTCGAGCGAATCTCATATGCTTCGGCAGGATACCGCTCACAGCGCTCCGCCAGTCGGTGACCTTTTCTTGCGGCTTCACGTATGAGTCGTAAACCTGGCGGCCGTGAAAGTCGACGATGCTCACCCGAGCCAGCACAGACTCGTACCCTCCTTGCCCGACCCCGACCATTTCGCAGTCCATGGCGATGTACTTCCCAACGTTAAGTCCTTCTGTAAGACCAGCATTGACCTTGTCTTTATCTGATGCAAGCATCGAGTTATTCTTCAGCCCCAGACCGTACGCCTCGGCCAGTGCTTCTGAAGAGACGTCATTGTCTGCAGCCCAGAGTGCGAGGGAAGGTGTGGTCCTGAGTTTGGGGTCCAGGTCGACTTCAACCTTGGAACTCTGTGCAACACCCATCCGGTCGCCCTTCGGTTTGGTGGGTTTCTGGAAACTCTTCTGGCTGGGTTTTTGAGCGGCTTTCGGGGCGGGCTTGTTCTCAGACTTGAGCTTCTGTTTTTTGGTTGGCTGCTGGGTTGAAGAGTCCGCCTTTCTCTTCACTGCCCCGGTAGTGGAAGAAGGAGGCGCGGCCTTGAGTTGAGCCTGAAGCTTCTTCCAATTTGATGACAGCTCAGAAGCCATGATATCGAGCAAGACGTAGATGTCTTTGGTTTGAAGGCTCACGCCTAGCCCAGCAAGACCAGAAATTGCCCTCGAGACGTCGTACTTGATTGCTGAGAAAGAGTCTAGAGTCGAGTGCCAACATCGGGTTGCTCGTTCGAGAATTAGCGAAAAATGAGAAGATGCAATTAACGGAGCGCGGAACGGCAGTGTGGAGCAGCGGGTCCCATTTACATGGCAGGGGTTCGCGGCAATTTGTTCACCGCCTTTGCTTAAATCGCGTTTTCTGCCACACCACCTGCCTCTTCCCGCTTCCACCATCATCTTTTGCGACGGAACGCAGGAAGCTCAGTCTGCGACGAAAATCATCAAACAACAGCCACAACCTCGAGCATTCATCATGGCGGCACACGGCTCCAACGGTGAAGCCACAGTCGGTTCTGGAGAGCCCAGACAAAAGGGCAAGGCCACGCCAGAGACAATCAGGTACGTCATCTCTTCACCCCACCAGAATTCCCCATCGGCCACTTCGACTGACCCATGCACCATAGAATAGGATGCATTGCTATGGTAAACAAGGAGGGCGTCCCTCGCAGAGCCGAAATTCTTAGTATAAAAGAAACGAAGAGCGGACGTCAATTCTACTGCAACTTCGACAACTTCAACAAGCGTCTCGACGAGTGGGTGCCGACCTCCCGCATCGACTTTGACCAAGATGTCGAGTGGCCGAACCCGGACAAGGACAAGCCTAAGGATGCAAAGACTAAGAAGGGCACTGCGACGTCTAAGAAAGCGCAACCCGCCAAAAAGTCTCAGAAGAGACCCGCAAAGAGAGAACAATCTGCGCCCTCCGAGGCCACGACACCGCACCCATGGACCGAGTTCGTCGAGTCGCAAAGCCAGAAGATGACTCCCGCAGCCGAAGAAAGTCAGGCACAAACCCCCGCGACGGGTGAGGCGAGCGCGACACCAGCGGCTGTCGGTGACGAGATGGACATCGATGGAGACGACGGAGATCAGAAGGAGGACCTTGGTGGCTTCAGCCGCGAAAAGGAGATTGAGAAGCTTAGGACGCATGGTTCCATGACGCAGAACCCTGCCGAGATTTCGCGAATCCGAAATATTTCTAAAGTGCAATTCGGCAGGAATGACCTGTTCCCGTGGTACTTCTCACCGTACCCAGAGGTCTTCAACCAGGAGGACGTTATTTACATTTGCGAGTTCTGCCTCGGGTACTACGGCGACGAAAAGGCATTTTCAAGACACCGACGCAAGTGTACCTTGCAACACCCTCCTGGAAACGAGATCTACCGGGACGACTCTGTTTCGTTCTTCGAGATCGACGGCAGGCGGCAGCGGACATACTGCCGCAACCTGTGTCTACTTTCCAAGATGTTTCTGGACCACAAGACACTTTACTACGATGTGGATCCCTTTTTATTCTACGTGATGGCTAGTCGGGACGACAAAGGCTGCCACATTATCGGATACTTCTCAAAAGAAAAAGAGAGCGCAGACGGCTACAACGTTGCTTGTATTCTGACGTTACCGCAGTACCAGCGGAAAGGCTACGGTCGCTTGCTCATTCAATTCTCGTACGAGTTATCCAAGATCGAGGGCAAGCTCGGCTCGCCAGAAAAGCCGCTCTCTGACTTGGGTTTGCTGAGTTATCGACAATATTGGGGTGAGAATATTCTAGATCTGCTGGTGGGATATAACGAGCGCGAGGAAAAGGCGACGATTGAAGCCATCTCATCGCAGCTGGCCGTCATTCCCCAGGATGTGGAACACACTCTCCAAGCGCTTAAGATGCAGGTTTATCATAAGGGAGAGCACAAGGTTGTGATTCCTGAGAAGCTCATCCAGCAGCGCGAAAGGCAAAAGGTGAAGCAGAAGCGTCTCATTGATCCTAGTAGGATTCAATGGAAGCCTCCGGTGTTCACTGCTTCTACAAGAACGTGGGGATGGTAAGACAGAAAAGTTGTCAAGGCTAGACAGACACAACTGCAGTATACTGTATTTTAGCAAACATGATACCCCTGTTCTTTGCTCATAACTCTTGATCATCTTATGAGCTGAAGCGTGTCATGTTGGAATACCTTAGAGCTGGCGTGGTCTCATGGATACCATGCCACGCTTTGCGAAATATTATGGGGCGAGGACCGCCCATTCCTGCGCTCAAAAAGGCATGTTAGCCGTTGGGGTGTTATCTCACCTCCGCAGTCGGAGCGTACCGCTTTGAACTTCACTTTGACACCAAACTACTATGACATAAATAATCGCCTTCTCCTCCAAGCACCAAGTCAATCCTCTCCCGCACTACTCACAGAGACCTCAGGCAAAAGAGGTAATGAAGCGCAGCCTGTTCAAAGTCCCGAAAGATCTTGTCCAGATACCTCACCACCGGCCCCTCACCCACATCGCCCGCCCCTCAGTGTCCCGCGCCGAAACCCACATCCGTACCCGCCCGGCCGCCTATCCCGATCCTATCCGCGTCTCATCACATCGTCACCTTCTCACTCACCAGTATTTCTCAACGTCTCAATTTCAAGGACGAGAAACCACAATGAACGCCTCTCTCAAGAAGAAACCCATAAACCTCCTCCGGGGCTGGCCCTCGCCCTCCCTCCTGCCCGCAGCAGCCCTCTCCGCCGCCGCCGTCAAGACCCTCGCCGACCCGGCCGTCTACGTCCCCGGGCTCCAGTACGGACCGGACCCGGGCTACCAGCCGCTCCGCGACGCCCTCGCTGAATGGCTTTCGGCGTTCTATCCGATCGCGGGTAAAACGCCCGAGGAGACCCAGGACCTCCTTTCCGCGGTGGAGGCGAGCAACGACACTGCCCTCCCCCACCACCCTCCCGACGTCAGCCGCATCTGCATCACGGGCGGCGCAAGCCAGAACCTCGCGTGCATATTGCAGTCCTTCACGGACCCGCTGTACACGCAGAACGTGTGGATGGTCGCGCCGTGCTACTTCCTTGCTTGTCCCATTTTCGCGGATGCGGGGTTTGACGGCCGGCTGAAAGCCGTGCCGGAGGATGATGAGGGCATTGATCTGGAATACTTGAGAAAGGGGCTCGAAGCCGCTGGGAAGGGAAACGATGATGTGAGTATTCGTCGTTCCCCATTCACATGTCATTCTTATACATGAGAAGTAAAGTGAGCTCAAGCTAACACACACACATCTCCAGCACTTCAAACAAGCCAAGAAGCGAAAGCTCTACCGCCACGTAATCTACCTCGTCCCAACCTGCTCCAACCCGACAGGCAAGACAATGTCCCTGCGCCGGCGGTACGACCTCGTCCGCCTCGCCCGCCAATATGATGCCCTCCTCATCGCCGACGACGTCTACGACTTCCTCCAATGGCCCACGACCCACGCCCCCACCGACGGCGACGCATCCTACCCGCCGTCGATGCGCCTCCCACGGCTCGTCGACATCGACCGCGCCCTCGGCGTGCCGCCCTCCTCCTTCGGCAACGCCGTCTCCAACGGCTCCTTCTCCAAGATCGTCGGCCCGGGCGTGCGCACCGGCTGGGCCGAGGGCAGCCCCGCGTTCGCGTACGGCCTGTCGCAGACGGGGTCGACCTGCAGCGGCGGCGCGCCGAGCCAGCTCGCGGCGATGCTCGTCGCGGAGCTGCTGGCCAGCGGGCAGGTGCAGCGGCACCTCGACGAGAAGACGCGGCCGGCGCTGGCGAGGCGGCACCGCGCGATGATGGAGGCCATCGCGGAGCACGTGCAGAAGCCGCTGGGCGGGACGGTGGCGGTGCGGGAGAGCTCGTTGGAGGGGGCCGGGGTGTATGGCGGGTATTTTGTGTGGTTCACGTTGCCGGAGGGGATGTCGAGCCGGGAGGCGGCGGTGAGGGCCAAGGAGACGGAGGACTTGGTTATTGGGCACGGAGCGCAGTTTGAGGTGCATGGGGACGAGGAGGCGGCGAGGTTTGGGAGGGAGATTAGGCTTTGTTTCTCGTGGGAGCCTGAGGAGGATGTTGTAGAGGGTGTTGTACGGCTTGGTAGAGTGTTGAAGGCTATGAAGGATGGGGTTGAGTGGAAGTCGTCGAGTGCTTTGGATGTTGACAATGTTAAATAGGAGACTTGACCAAAGAGAAGGTAAAAGTAATATTCTGATTTACGATGGCGGCCCAATGAAGGTCTGAGTAGGTACGTCACGAGCAGCGAGCCAGCTTAATGCAAAATTCGATTTAGGTCATGAGAGGCCCTCTGGGTATAAAAATGCAGGTGAAGCGAATCCAGTCGCCATGCCCAATGCTCCTCCGTCAATCATCTTACAGCGAACCTCTATTTACGTGTGGTTTACAGGATTGTCCGTCTTCGTCTACACTTGGTAGGGCTTAGCCTCGGTGAAGATCAGATGCGGCTTGCGTTTGGCAATATCCAAGATTGTCTCGGCGAAAACACCGTTGGCCCCTGAAGTAGTTAGTATCGTCAATACCAAGTTGGTTCAGATCTCAAGTTCTTACATGCAAACCAGCTTCTGGTGTATGAAGTGATGTGGTTGACCTCGACACTCTCGTGCACCAGACCCAGACGGGCAGAACGCAGCACGAGGTCGAGGCACTCTGTGATCTCCTCATCGTTCTCGGATGTTTGGGCCTGGATCAACAGACTCATAGGCCAGGCGTTCGATAGACCGATGTGGGGTCCTGACAGAGTTAGTATACCACTCTTATGTAGAAACGACTTTCACTCACCTCCAATTCCATGGAAAGCCCGGCCCTCAAGATAGTACGGGTTGCCGGTCTTCTCCAGAAGCATCTTTCGTGTGTTCTGGTAAGTCCTGTCCTCTGGAGGCAAGAATCCCATGAGAGGCAATGCGAGAAGCGAGGGATAGTTGGCATCATCCATGAGGATAGACGAGCCGTATCCGTCAACTTCGTACGCGAACACGTCACCGTACTTCTTGTGCTTCACCACGCCGTGCTCCCAAACGCCATCAGTGATGGTCTGGCTCCACTTGGCCACCTCCTGCGCAAGTACGTCCTTCCCAGCAGCTTTCAGAACCTCCGCCGTACGCTTCAACTCGACAGCCATCATGGCGTTGGCCGGGATGAAGAAACCAAGGATGGTCGCATCATCGCTGGGCCTGAAAGCTGATCTCACGAGGCCTGTTCCATTGTTGAGCGGGTTGCCTACGCCCTTGAGATTCAAGGTTTCGGTTCCGAGGTCCGTCTTGCGCTGGAAAGTGTACTCATTCCTCTGGTACTGACCCGTCGCCGAGTCGAACGTGGGGTGCGATTGCTGCTCCAGCACGTCGAGCACCGTCTCAAGAGCAAGGTACCATCTCGGGGTCAAAAAGTCTTTGGAGTCGGTGTGCTCGTAAAAGTCATTTCCCAGAGCTAGGAAGTGCGCCAGCGAGTCCAATTCGTACTTGCATTCAAACACGAACGAGGGCTCGTAGACTGGATGCACGGTGTCGTCCTGTCCGTTATGACTCGGCTGCAGGTTCGCAATCGGGGGCGGCTGGAAGGCATTGCAGTATGGTGACTCGATAACGTACTCGGACTGGGTGTTGATGGCGCCGAGGATGAGCTTGAAGATGGCGGGATCTTTCTTGGCCAGGGCCTGGTAGGGGGACAGCTGGTTCGTGCTGTCGCGCAGCCACTCTGCTATGATATCTCCCGTGATCACGAAGGATTGCGGGCCCTCCCACTTGCCCTCGTCGCGCAAGCTTCGGCCGTTCAGGTCGACAAATCTAGTGTCCGTCCCGTCGGTGTGGAACTTGACTGTTGTGTCTGTGGTCGAGGGGAAGGCATTCTCGAAAAGCCTAGCCAAGTCGGGGTCCTTCATTCGGGACGTGACATCCTGGATGACCTTCTCAATCGCTTCAGAGTGGAATGTACGGCATCGCGGATCGGGTCTTTGGTAGGGCAGACCGAGAGGGCCTTCGCTCAGGGGCTTACTGTAACCAGCAAGTCAGCATCAATTCCCAAGCAAGGTCAACAGCAAAGAGAGGTCTGCAACATACTGAGGATGAGTAGAGTACTGCTCGTAATTGGGGCACGCGCCGCGGTCCTCGCCAGTAAGAGGCTCTTGCGCCGCAGAGACATGGCCGACAAGAAGACCGGCAAGCGGCAGCAGCACGTCGACAAAGGTACGGAGGGACATGGCTTCGAGGCCGAAAAGGCAAGCAGAAGGAATCCGCGGTATATCTTATGTTCGCATGGGTATCGTCAGTAACCTCTAGAAGGGGAGAGTGGTTCACCGCAACGAGTTGTTTTCGAGTTTGATGTCGAGCGGACGGATGCAAGAAATTGGGACGAGAGCTCCCACACCACGACAGCCAGGTGTCCGCTGCGCCCGCGCTTGGCTGGGGCCCGGGGGGAATCTCGTCACTGTGGTCCCTTGCAGGAGCTCTGACAGGGGGCCAAACGCCCCCTTAGCGTCCGGCATTAACGACCTGGATCCACTGCGGGGTGCGCGGGGCCGCCGTGCCGCCTTCACGTCCGATCTGCCGTGTTTGATGTTGTGGCCGTTGCTGATAAAACATTTGTTTGTTTCTCTTCCGGGATCAACTCATCAGCCAGTTTTCCCGCGCTGTAATTTTTAAAGGTCCAATTGAGACATGCAACTTGCTCAATTTTTGATATCATACCATCAGCTAACTCTGACATCGTCTTCAGTATTCCTTCAATAAGGTAGTATTACTTTGTGGTTTGATGTCCATCTCCGAGTGACATGCAAGCCCCCTATTCTAGCCATTTACACCGGAACTTCAATCACTTCTTAGAGAAGAACGACATGATGTTGCCCTGCCCCTTTGGCGCAGCCTTCTTGGGTTTCGAAGCCTGGCTGCCGGAGCTTGGGGCTGTCGAAGGTTTGGGCTTAGCAGCTGGAGCGGGAGTTGATTTCGGTGCTTCGTCTTCTGAGAACTCCTCCCAGACGGCCTCTTCCATAGTAACTGGTAGCCTAACGTCAGTATCAAAGATGCCAATACTTCGAGACAGAACCTACCCAGATATCCTTCATCGTCCATGATCTGCTTCTTTTTCATCACCTTCCTCTTGCCGCGCCGTCTGCCGTCGCCGCTGCTAGCAACGACCTCGGACTGCTCTGGCTCCTTCTTCGCTTCAGGTTCAGGCTCAGGCTCCTCCATCGGCTCATCTTCGGGCTCCTCCTCCTTCTCCTCAGGCTCTTCTTCTTCTTCACTTTCCTCCTCCATCATGCGCTTCAAGTCGGCCTCGCGCTCCTTTCTTGACTTCCTTCCATCAGAGGAAGGTTTGGCAGCCGGTATATCCTCGTCATCGTCTTCGCCGTCGTCGGATAGAGCAGGAGAGTCGTTGACTGGTGGTGCCTTCTTCGGTGCTTCCTTGGGTTTGCTCGCAGCTTTTGCTGCGGCCTTCGCAAACGAACCCATGATACCTGAAGAGCCGCTCTTCTTCAGCGGGGGAGGTGCTGCACCCTTCTTGCCGGCAGCCATTGAGAATGGAGATTCCTTGGCAGCAGGCTTCGCCTCTTTCTTGACCGACTCCTCTGCCTTCTTGTCGGCAGCGGGCTTTGCCGTGGGTGGAGACGGTTCCTTCTTGACGGGCTTGGCCGTCGAAGCAACAGGTGCGGGCGTAGGAACTGGCTTGCCTTTGCGATCGCGCTTTCGTACATTAGGGTTTGTGATAGATCCGTACGTCTCCAGCATAGATATGCTGTCATCACCGGATTGCTCGCGAACCTGCTGGGCAACGTCTGCTAGCATCTGGGGTTCCTTGGTCTTGTTAGTGCCTGGGTATACGAGGGGCTACTGCACCTACTCTGATGGGATGACGAGCCAGACTGTAGACATGGAACGAAGAAACATCTTCGTACGTAGCCAGTACCTCTGTGAAATTGCTTTAGCACATTGCCCGACTAGGCTATCAAAAATCATTCTTACCCTTCAGACGATCGCCAGGAACCAGGGACAAGGAGTAAGTGACGACATCTTCGGACAAAGGCTCGACATCGGGAAGAGAGCTGGTCATCTCGACGTCGCCGTCTTCTTGGACATTCTCCACTTTGCGAATGCCATAGATCAGGTAGGTCGCATGGATGGTGCCGGGGCGCATGGCATTCTGGGATCGGTGAAACTCATACAGCATACTGGAGAAAATGAGCAGCTACAGTGCGCAGTAGACGTGGAAGAACTCACGCCTTTGCAGTATTGACATGAGTCTTGAGTGCCCTGCTAAGACTTCTGTATGTGACCTGGACCATTGTGAGTACCGAGCTTTAGCAAATGCGATGAAGCGCCGTCTTACAATTTTCTCCTCGCTGAGGACCTGGTCCGCCAGGTACTTCTTGTACTCGTCCATTTTCGGAATTATGTGGTGAGGATGCCGGTGTTATTGAATAGCAAGACGCAATGCGGAGAAGTGAAAATGCCCTTGGAGTCAAACCTCGCCCTCTCGTTTTCACGATGCTCTCATGTAGGAGGGATGATGAGGGTTGGCAGGACGCGATCAAGACGCGTAAATTGATTTCTGGGTACGTACCTCTTAGAACCACTCAGGCAGGCGCATTTGGTGACGTGATCCACTTAAACACCTGCCCCTGTAGCCCGGTCCCTGGCCTAGGCCCAGCGCGCCGCCACTCTCCTCGACGCGACTTTGACATTCTTTCTGAAAACTTCCGGCACACCTACTTCGCATAGGCCGCGATCGTCTTTAAACCGTTCATAGCCTGCCTTACCGGTGCCTTCCTCAGGCCAGAATTGCTGCATACTCCTTTGCTACGAAGTTCCGTCCAGAATCCTCTCGATCAACGACATCGCTCGCCCAGCATGGCGGACAACTTCGACGACGTCCCCGACTCCACAGATTGGCTCTCGACGCCTTTGTCAGGGCTCTCGGCCGTCGAGGCCGCGCTGCGATGCCAAGTATGCAAGGACTTCTTCAAGACGCCCATGCTCACGTCCTGCTGCCACACCTTCTGCTCGCTATGCATCCGCCGCGCCCTCTCCAATGAAGGCAAATGCCCGCTCTGCCGCGCCTCGGACCAGGAGCTGAAGTTAAGGAGTAATTGGGCCATGGAGGAGATTGTCGAGTCTTTTACGAAGGCGAGGAAAACGACGCTGGAGTTCGCCAGGACCGCCGGCCAGGCCTCCGCCAGAGGCTCGTCGCCGAAGAGGAAGCTTGTGGAGGAAGACTCCGCGCCGGAACACCAGCCCGAGGCGAAGAGACTTAGGAGCTCAGCGCGACTCAGCAGGACAAGGGCGGGCCAGTCAACAACGGTGGTAGACCTGGAGGAGGAACACAATCCAGAGCCCAGAGAAGAGGAAGAGGACGACGAAGCAGACGACGCAACATTCAGTAAGCCAAACCCCCATATTTGCCAGTCCACTCCCCTCACTAACACCTTCTCAGCACCAGAAGACGGCCTCGTACCCTGCCCAATCTGCCAAACCCGCATGAAGCAATTCCAAGTCTTTAGCCACCTCGACAAATGTCCCGGTCCCCAGCCGCAACCCTCACGTCCCAGCGCGAGCCGTACCCCGACCCCGAACACGCCCGCCCGCGGCGCCGCTCCGCCGCGCCAGACTCCAGCTCCCGAGCGCCTCCCCGCCATAGCCTACTCCATGCTTAAAGACGCTGCCCTCCGCAAGAGAATGTCCGATCTCGGCCTCTCTACGAACGGCACGCGGCAGCAGCTCGAGAAGCGTCACAAGGAGTGGGTGACGCTGTGGAACGCAAACTGCGATTCGGCGCGCCCGAAACGCCGCGCAGAGTTGCTTCACGATCTTGATGTGTGGGAGCGCACGCAGGGTGCGAAAGCGCCCATGTTTGCCGCTCGTCCGGGGGCTGCAGTCAAGGATAAGGAGTTCGATGGCGCGGCGTGGGCCGTGAAGCACGACGACTCGTTCAAGGACTTGATTGCGAATGCAAGGAAGACCAGGGCGCAGGCGAAGCAGAAGACAGAGGAGGCGGCTGCTGAAAATGCTACGGCACAAAAAGAGTCGGATGCTGCTACGCCAGGTGTCGTGGAGAACACAGAGAGGGTGAAGAGTTTAGAGATGGCTGAGAGCACGGCAGCAGAGGTCACGATGGTTGACCTGACGGAGCCATCTGTAGACCCCGTGGCCACTCCCACTCACGAGGCTGCGATTCCAAAACCACCCTCATCCGCATATTACTTGCAGGACGGCTTTTCAGAGCAGATACCCGCGGTGGACATTGGCGCAACAAATAGCCAAGAAGCACGGTAAACGTTCTGTTGTAAATAATAGCATATGCGATGTCGCTTCATTATGATACCCTCCAACATAAATGTACAGAATCCCCAAACGCCACCGTCTATCGTGAAACACCGTACATAGTACAGAAGTCATGGTCTCTATGCCGCCTGTGGCTGCGGCCGTTCCTCCAACTCCAACTTCTCCAGGCCCTCTGCCGTCTCCCTCGAAGGCGTCTTCTCTCCCGAAGGTTCCGTCACGGGCGCCTTCAGCCCTTGCATCTCTGCCTCGAGTCTCTTCTCCATTTCCTCCGCCTCCTTGGCCTCCTCCGCCTCTCTCCTCGCTCTCTCCTTGGCCTCCTCGGCTTCTTTCTTTGCCCTCTCCTTGGCCTCCTCCTTCTCCCTCTCCTCGCGCTCCATCTCCGCCAGCTCGTCGTCGACCTCCACCTCGTCTGCCGGCGCCGCGTTCGCATCCGCGATGATGTCGCCCACCTCGTCCACCTCGCCCATCTGCTCCCGCAACGAGGCGACCACGTCTCCAACCCGGTCCGCCCCGCCGACCTTCTCGTTGAGCCCCTTGAGCGCCCCCGCACTCGCCTCCATCACCTTGACGAGCTGCACCTGGTCGCGCGCCGTCTGGATCCTCGCCGCCACGTCCTCGAGCTGCCCCAGCGTCGCGAAGCGCGTCTGCAGCGAGTTCTCGGCCACCTTCTTCGACTTGAGCGCCGCCATCGCCGCCACCTTGTTCTTCTTCGCGACGGCCTCTTTCGCGGTGACGGTGAGCTCGTCGATGCGCGTGGAGAGCAGCGCCGTCTGCTTCTGCATGTCCTCGATGAGCTCCTTCAGTGATGACACAGCGGCGTCCTCCTCCGTTATAGAAGCCTCGTCCTCGTCCGCCCCTGTGCCCTTGATCTTGACCACCTTGCCGTCGTACACCACCAGCCCCTTGTCGCGCGACAGGAAGACGAGGAGGATGTCCACGTCCTTCTCGGATAGCCTCCGCTGCTCGACCAGCGCATCCGCAAACGTCTTCTGAAAATGCATCTTTGTGTACGTGCGGTCGAACCTCGTGTCCGCGGGGCTGACCTTCTCCGCGAGCTTCTTGGCCGTGGTCTCCACGTTCTTGAGCACGACGAACTGCCCCTTAGGCAGCTTATCCTCGCCCGACGTCGACCCGCCGCCGAAGCCGAGCTGCCCCGCCGCCCACGACACGACGCTCCACGGCACCTGCGACCACGTCTTGGCGTATATGCTGTCCTTTGCGCCGAGGAACTCTTTGACAGGGTAGAGGTCCTTGTCAGCGACGGCTTCGCGGACGACCGTACCCAGGGCGAGGGGCCGGCCGAACTGTTTGCTCTCGAGGGCGCGGAGGAGGTTATCGTCGACGTCTACTACGAGCAGGTTCGGCGCCGAGAGCTGCGAGGGTATCCTCCCTTCCCAGGCCGCGCGGGCGAGGGCCTGGCGCCAGGCGCTCATGTTTGCTTGGAAGCCATCGGGGTTCAGGGTTCGCTGGGGGCGGAAGTCGGAGTAGAGGGCGGGGAGACGTGCTCTGCCAGTTTGGTTAGAAATTCAACGCTATCATCGAGGTGGGGGAGTAGGTTGGACGAACTTGCGGAAGTTCTGGTCGTGTTCCGTGAGGAAGTCTGCTAGGTCGCCCATCGTGACCGGGTGACGTCGAGGTCGGCTGCAGGACTGTACGTTGTTTTATTTCCCGTAGAAACCTCGCAGCGGATTGTAGCAAGCGGCGCGGTGATTCTCTCGGATTCTGACGAGAGCCTGGTAGGAGAGGATCTTCTTTTGGATCAAAGTTGGAAGGTTTGAAGTTCCTGTGATCTTTCATCAAAGACGGAAGGACGGGGGAGCTTCCATGTTGGCCCGCGGTGGGGTGGCGCCTTATCGGCGTACTTTTAGCGGTGCTTCCCCCTATCGGTTGCCTGTGAGATCACTGGGAAAATCCTGGGGACCCTGGCAGCTGCGGGTACGTACAGGGATGACGGGCTTCGAAATGCCTCGAGCGTCACCTCATGAATGCCAGATATCTAAGCTTGAATGAGAGGTCGTCGTCACATTCAGTAGTCACTCATTGTACGCGGAACCTCAAGCCGGAACACATGGATAACAAATCACGGAATGAAACGGTACAAGCTCGTTCGTAAAAACGGTGTAAATGCTATTAGCCCGCTTCATAAGAACGCATCTACAACCCCAGTCACCCAGCGCCATCCTCATACCAGATCATGTCTTTATCCGAAATCATTTTGTACAGAGTCGTCAGCCCCCTCGTCCTCGGCCGAGTTCACTTTATGTAACGGCGCCGTCTCGAGATTAGCAGCCTGCGGCCCCGCGCGGCCCATCATGCTCGCCCTCCGCGACCGCAGATCCAGAGCCTCGCTCTCTTCGTCCACGACAACGTCCTCGGCTTCTTGAGACGCCGATTCGTCGCCAACATCCTCGGCCTCAAGCTTTTCGTCGATCTGGTGCTGCAGACCTGCCACGAAGTCGTTGGCAACGTCAAACTTGGAGATGCCGTTCTCGTGCGGGAGGTCGGACCATATCTGCCCTGCCTCGTTGAGACAGCGCTGCGACTGGATGTATTTTTGCTGGAGCAGCCAAGACTCGCTGGCCAGGATACACCACATGGCCGACTTTCGCTTGCGGTGGCCCCATGAGCCGGACCCGACGCCGGGTTTGGCGGAGTAGCACACGGCAAGACGCTCCTTCATGAGGGCGTCGCCGATCTTGCCTAAGATCTTCGAGTCGAGGAGTCGGATGCCCCATCTGACCGCATCGTCGACGCTACTTCCGCCTCTGAGACGTAGGAGCTCGATACCCAGGGTGAGCGAGCGCAGAGCTCCGAAAGGGGCGCTGCATCGTGTTTGGTACGAGTAAAAGGCCGCTTCGAGCATTTGGTCAATCGTTTCGGCGCGAGACTTTGAGGAAAGGTTTTGCGGCATGATCAGGAGACTGACGGCGGCCATCTCGTTGGTTGCGGCGTGATACCGCCACGCCTTGGCGTCGCTGAAATCGGATCTCAAGAGATCGTATGTCGAGTGCGCCAGCTTGTAATCTCTCAGCATGAAAGCGAAATCAGCAAGCTTTCGCATGATGGCTTCCGAAGCGTCTGGCCGATAGAACCCCGCAGGGTCATAGCTGCTGGATGATCCACTGCCGACCACCGATGACCTCGAGCTGCTGCCGAAGCCGCCCCATTTTCTTGATATGCTCATGAACCTGCCGGTGATACCTCTTCTCCGAGATGCAACCTGGTCGTTCCATAGAGACACATGCCGCTCCATCGTAGGCACAATAGACTGTGTCACCATTTCCCTCACAAACGTGCGGATCGCTGTCGCGTCAGACTCAAAAATGTACCTCGTCGGGTCCTCAAAGTCTTCCTGGTCCTCGCTGTGTCGGATATCAACCAGCTCTTCGGCCGCAGACATCCAGTCGCTGCGGGGAAGCGGTATGCTGTCGTCGTCGGTCTCGGCGCTTTGTGTGCTTCGTAGCCGTAGCAAGTGGCAGTGCAGGCCCAGGTGGCGCTTCATCTGGTCAAACAGAGCCAGTGACCGTGTTATGTCGTCGCGCTCTTCGTCGTGGACCAGAACGTAATATCTCAGATAATCTCCATCCACCCAGACCGGCAGCTTGTTTTCGCCGGAGCTAGTGTCGTTGTACAGTTTCCGCAGATCCTCGATTGGCGAGGGGCTTCTCGAGCTGATAGCAATAACACACGCGACCGGATGCGCAAAGGTCTCATGAGGTGATACCTGGATGCCTGAGAGGAGCCGCCTCAGGTATAGCGAGTAGTATGGCGAGGTAGCCTCCACGTCCAACCCTTGCCTCGTGAAGGCGCCGTGGTGCGGAGTATGCAAGAAGGAATCCTCGGCGTAAGACAAATGGCGATCGACAACGGCCTCGACATCTTCGAGGGTGTTCCTCGACTTGAGCGACGACCCCGGTTGCCCGTTGGCCTGCGCGCCGCCTCTCGCGCTGTCCGGCGAGTCGATGTTCTCTCCAAACTTGACGAACCGGATGGAATAGTCCTCCCACGTCCTGCTCGCGCCGTTGCTGTCTCTAATAGTGACCTTGCCCTGCACCTGCTCGCCAAACGGCCTCAGCAGCTCCCACAAGCCGTTCTTGAACCCCTTCTCCTTCGCCAGGTCGTCAGTGTCCTTGGAGGTGTAGATCGCAACGTGGGGGACGTATGCCTTCACGAGCAGGTTGCGCGGGTCGCCGGGGCTGTCGGACGAGATGTCGATCAGGGATCTCCCCGCCGGGCCGCCGAAGACGGAGCCGGACATGGTGCTGCGGGCTGGCGAGCCACGTCCCATGGGCGATCCGGACCGTGAGCCCGGCGGGGTCAGGGTCGAGGCGAAGAGTGGCGCGGCTGAGGGATGCGATCGGCGGTGCGGCAGGCTGACTTCGGACTGGGACAGCGGGTGGCCCTCCGGCACGGACTGCCTCTTGGGCAGCCTCACGGTGGAGGCGGCCATCGGCAGCGCCTGGATCGCATCGGTTGGTGACGCATCGTTGTCCGGGGACTGCATGGGGGAAGTGGTGGTGGCCCGAGGTATATCAGCCGCGGGAACGACTGATACCCTTTTCCGGCTCGGACTTCTCGCAACTTCTGCGGATTTGCGGTTCGCGTCGATATCGTGGGGGTTGGGAAGAAGCAGCGGTTGCGGCTCTAGATTAGACCTCGTAATCCGTTCGAGTGGCTTCGGGCGACGTAATCATAAGGGGGGTAGGCTCTCTCTCGAGGGTGGATCGCAGAAGAAAATGCGTGGTTGGATCAGTCCGTAAACTTGAGAGTCAGTCAGCACCATCCAGGTCGCTTCCACAATGTGATCTAATAGACATACAAAGACTGTTCCATCACGAGGCCGCAAGACGTACAGCGAGCTGCCAGCAATCCAAATTACCTCCAGAAAGCTGTCGTCCAGGCTCGGGGCGGGAGACATTTGATCCTCCGATAAGTGACTAGCGCCCCGTCACATGCACGTCTACCCGCGGAGGAGAGTGGGGGACCCTTGT